TCTCGCGTTTCCCCTGATGATATTCACCCGTTAATGCCGAGGTCGACGTGGTGGGCGAGTGCCATCAGGGACACTTCAGCGAGCTCCATGTGATGGTCGAAGATCGTGTAACTCAGCACGCACGACTTGCTTTTACCGAGAGGCATCCGGCTTCAGAATATGATGGTAGCTAGCTCGTTACACCAAATTTTCATGCGATTCTTTCTTCTGATTGTGCAGTGACGACTGATATTTGCACCGATCTCGTCCTCAGTCTAGCGCGGTACCCAGGTGTAAATACATTAACCAACTACAAGCGGGCTCACGATTGGAAATAAGGAAAAGTGACTGCTAACCCCCCTGGGTGCACCCCGCCCAAATAAGTATGCTTTACACTTTCAGTTGTCGGTTACCCCCACCTCCTCTCGCGCCTCCAAGACACTCTCATTACCCTCTTCTTGCTCATCGGCGTCGCAACAACGAAGTCTCCGTCACTCATCTCCATCGTCTTCGCTTAGCTCATCTGCTTCGTCGTCAGCCTTGTAATCCCTTTCTTCCGCCTCCGCTATTCTCCTCTCGTCCACATCTTCTTCTGGGATGTACCACTGGTCATCCTCTTCATGCGAATCATCCCCTTTCTCCAGGCCGTCCCACTCGACGAGTCCGAAGGTCTTCCGGAGGACTTCAATATCTGTGGCGACGATATTGATTCCCCCGCTTATGGTAAGTGCTATTTTATGCTTGGGACAACCCGAGCGCTGATAGGGCTTCAAGAAACGCCTGAAGAAGTCGCCCACGTCCAGGATCGTTCTCCATGGGTCTCGAAACCAGACCGATTCTAAGTGGAGTGTTTCCAGCTTCGGAAACAACGGATCCGTCGGTTCGCCTGACCCACCGATGGCATAGAGACCTGTAGGCAGGGTCGAGGTATACCTCCCGGCGATATCCGGTTCTGCTTTCTGATCGTATAGGTGACGACTAATATTTTCTGTTCACGTTCTAGCGCGGTACCCAGATATAAAATACAATTTCCAACTACAGGAGGACCCACGATTGTAGAAAAGAAAAATTGGCCGCTACTCCCTTGGCGCGCCCACACATAAATAGGTGCTATGCTCGGCCTTCAGTTCTCGCTTGCCCCAACCTCCTCTCGCGCTTCGGATGCACTGTCATTGTCCCCTTCCTCGCTAACGGCGTCGCATTGAAGCTCTCTTCGTTCCCCTCCGTGGATTTCGCCGAACTCCTCTTCCTCGTCATCAGCCTCATAGTTGGGTTCTTCCGCCTCCTCTTGCCTCCTCTCCTCCACATCCTCTTCCGGAGAAACGTACCACTGTTCGATATCGTCATGGGAGGCATCCTTCGCCTCCACACCATCCCACTTGACGATATTGAAGATATGCCAGAGGACGTCAATGTCTCTGGCTAAGATGTTGATTCCTCCGGTTATAGTAAGTTCTTTTATGTGTTCTGGACAATCCAGACGCTGATAGGGCTTAACGAAGCGATCGACGAAGTCGACCACCCCAAAGATCTGCCTCCAAGAATCGCGGAACCACACTGATTCCAGGTGCAGCGTTTGCAGCTTCGGAAACAGCGGCTCCGTCGGCTCGCCCGACCCATCAACGGCATAGAGGCCGGCAGGGAGAGTTGATGTATACCTACCGGAGACGCATAGGTCGGTCACGCCTGGCATGAGACTGAAGAGCCGTCGCCAAGCCACGACAGATCGCTCCACATATGCCCGACCGTCTTCTATGGTCAAGTGTTTGACCGCCGGCAGATATGGTTGCAGTCGTGGGCGCAATGCGTCCAGGATCCGGGCCTCTTCATCGTAGTCGTAGCCTTCGAACACAAGACAGAGCCCAGTGGTCTGCGATTGCCACGTCGCGGTGATCGGATCCTGAGCCAGCATACAATAGAGGCTCGTGGGGTTCGGGTTATACATGGTGCAGCCGCGGTGCACCTGGGTAGAGCCGATCCCGTCGATAACGCCCTGCATGCACGCTATGATCTGCTCCAGATAGTCGAAGTCGTGGACCTGCACGTAGGCGTACTCTAGCTGCGGCATGACCATGTCGCGCAGCAGTTTCGCGTCGCGGAGGCCATAGAGATCGATGGATAGGGTCCGCAGGGAGGGGAGTGGTACCCTGTCGAGTTGGATCACAACTCCAGGGTTGATCGGGATAGGTCTGAGATCCAGACTAAGCTTAAGGTCCGTAAGGTTGGGTAGACCACGTAAGACCTGCCGTATATCCAACGTCGTCATAGCCGTTCTGACAGCAGTGATATGCAGTTCAGTCAACATCGGCGTGAAGAGCATCCTGAAGTCATTCAGGCTGTCGAGGCCACTAAGCCGTAGACGCCGCAAGACCGGGGACGTGAAAGGAGTCAGGTTCGCCGCACCGAAAGCACCCGTGACGCTGATTTGCAGCTCCTCCAGGATGGGCGATGTACCTTGTACCTGTCCGACGACGCTACCCAAAACCGTGGACGAGACCGAAATACAGAGGGACCGAAGCCGGGAGCGGACGCCCATCACCACGCCTAGTTTCTCCTTGTTGTCTTTGCGGCGATCCTCGACGTCGTTGCCACCGTCGTTGTCGTCAAGCGATCCGGCGATTGTCAATGTGGCGTTGCGGGAGCGAGCGATGAGGTCCTTCAGACTGCCGACCGTTTGAATGAATATGGCCGTCCAATACTTCCGGTTGTTCACAAGCTGTTCCCTCCACCTGCCGCAGATGTGGGTTAAGGAAACAATCTGAGACTGTCGGGTGGCGGGGTCGGGCGTTGTGGCGTCCAAGTCGGCCACCACGTCGTCGGCCACTTTGGCCATAAGCTCCGGCGGAATGGAGCTGAAGGACGGTTTGTTCATCGTGACTGGAGTGGCGCTGTGGTTGCGATACGACGTGAGCGACACGTGTGGCGCGGGCAAGAATCAGTAAGGGAAGTGAGCCAACGTACCGTCCACTGATTATTGTGCTTATTATAGGATTGTGGCTTGGTAACAAGGG